CTCTGCCCTGGCAGATCCCACAGCAGGGATCACTCTGCCCTGGCAGACCCCACAGGGATTATTATTCAGCACCAGAAGTCCTGTGTCACAAACAGCTGCGAGGTCCCCTGGTGCCAGCTCACCTCCTTCCAGCTGCTAAGAACACTCTCAGGAGACTCCTAATGCCATCTCTTTCCACAGGCAGGCAGCCCTTTAAGGATGATGGATAAAAGATGTCACCCACAAACATCACCAGCAAGGAGCAATGCCCACCAGGAGACCCACCCTAACCCAGTGCACAGGGTATGTCAGCACTCCCAGCTGAGTCACAGTTGCCCAATAACCCCCCAAATAACCTCCCAAAACCCATAAAGTCTCAGGTTGTAATTTGTGGGCAGCCCTACATCTATAAATTCCTGTTCCTGCAGCTTGTGCTCCAACGTGTACCTTACCTTTTAACTCCCCAGCACTTGACTGCAGCTACAGTTTACTCTTTAAATGGAAGCCTTGGATTGATTGAAGACTTTCTGAACTCATTTCTGCTTGAGAGTCTCAAAACCATTTATTAAACTCTGCCAGCAACTCAACCAACCTTACTCTGTCCTAAACAAACCCAGCACAGAAATAAAAAAGGCAACTCTTTTAAAAAACAGATAAAAGCAGCAAACAAAGAAACAGCCATTTATTTTTCAGGGGTGTGACTCAGTCATGTGAGCACAAACCTCAACAAGGATGACTGAGATGAGCAGCTATGAGCAGAGATGCAAACCCTCAGCATGAGAGAATAAAGGGCAAGATGACTTAGAGAAACTTATGACCTCACATAGGACCACACACTTTCTCTCTGCACTGACAATGTGTTAAAAGGAACTTCCTCCTCTGTTATTCACAAAGAAATGGAGATATAATACAATTTTCAGGAGAGAAGAGCCATTTTTAAAGCAAAACCAAAAGCAGGGTTATAAAGCCTGAAATAAGCAACAAGCACTGTCACTCATCACTGGGCAAACTTGAAACATTTAGGAGCCTGGAAGCACTCAAGGCTCGAGGACCCTGGGGAATGAAACCATCAAACTCACTTCAGGCAGGTGATGAAAACAGTGAATTTTGCCATATAAAACTATCACTTGTCTGGCTGAAATTCAGAGGAACAACCTGCACTTCCCAGGATCACCCTGGGATGCACTTACACCCACTGCTCCCACCCTCACACCAAACCAGCTCCTGAATCCTTGAGGACCCAGCAAACAACACCCTCAGGAATTCCTGTATCTAATTTTACGTGGTCAGTGAATGTGGACAAACCAGAGTAACGGAGCTGGGAGTGGGATAAAAATGGTAATTAATGCAGAAACCTCCCAGAGCTGAATGGCTGAACAGCACAATGCATTAATGATCCCATTTAGGGGCTATTAGGGAACTGCTCTGCTCAGATGAACCACACTCAGAATAAAACCCCAGCACCTGCACACACACAAAAAGGACCAGGAAGGAAAAGTATTCCATGACAGACACACACACAATAGTTAATCAAAAATGCTTGTTTCTCAGGAGTGTGCAAACCCCAAATTGTTTTGGTTTATTTCTTTTTAATACAACCTACTGATTTCTCAGCACACCATCCAAATATTGGACAGCACATTACATTCCCTTGATAATTTAGCTGTTCAAATGTTGTGTTTGCTCAGGAGATAATTATCTGCAGCCTGGGGTAAACACAAACTGCACAGACACGTGTTTGGTTTGTGCAGTTACCCAGCACAGCAGCCACACCACTCCCACCTCGTCACTCAGAAACTCTCCTCTGCTCAGCCCACATCCAGCAAAACAAAACCAGGCCCCTGTGTGATACAGGGGATATGAGATCTCCTCTGCCCACCCTCATTTCCCAGCAAACCCCAACCACTCCGGGTTATGATTTCCAGGGCTGTGTCCTGTTTTGCTGTTGTTTGGCCACTGCCACCCTGAAAGTCTCTAATGTGATATTCCACCACTTCCCCAGTTTAGAGAACAAGGATATTTTCATCCCCTGGGCTCCCAGCCCGAGCAGTGCCTCGGGGGGTGCTGTTTGCAGGGGTTAAGGACCTGCCTCTGAGCCCCTCTGGAGACACCCGAGACACATCCCCCCCACACGGGCTGCTCCTCAGTGCCGGGGGGACTCGGGGACCGCTCGAGTGGGCGGCTGTCACCCCTTACAGGGGGCAGAGGCAGGAGCTGGGGGTGCTGTGCCAGCCTGTGCTGCCTCTCGGGGCACCCAAATCGGGGGGGACCCGCCCCACGCCCCGCAGAGCCGCTGGCACCGGGGGTGCGGCAGTGCTGGGGCTGAGCCCCAGGGGCTGCAGGGCTGGGCAGGGCAGGGCAGGGCAGGGCAGGGCAGGGCCAGGCAGCGCACACGTGGCCCGGGGCGCTGCGCTGCTGGCGGGAGGGACACGGCCCCGTCCCTGGGGGCACCGGGGGGCGGTGACTCACTCGGTGATCTTGGGGTCGAGGTTGCCGATCCAGAGGCGGTGCCCGTCCTGCAGCGCGCCCTCGGACAGGATGGAGGCGTTCTCGAGGGGCAGCGCCTGGCGGCCCGGCTCCATGGCCGCGGGGGTCGATCCGGGCTCTGTCCGGGGTCGGTCCGAGGGCCGGGCCCGTCCCGCTCTCGCCGCCTCCGCGGGGCCGCGCAGGCCTCGCCCCGCCCTTGGCGCCGCTCTATGACGTCACGCACGCGCGCGCGGATGACGTCGGCCGGGACGCGCAGGGCCGCGCGACGGTGAGCGAGGCGGCGGCGCCCGCCCTCCTTCTCCCCTCCGCCCCCCCCCCGGTTGCCCATCGGCCCCCGGTTGATCCCCGCTCCCCCATCGATCCTCGGTTCCCAGCCCAGCCTTGCACGGGGCCCGGGGGGCGGCCGGGCCGGGCCGGGCTGGGCCGGCGCGTCCCAAGGAGCGGGACAGGCGTGGGCGGGGCCAGGCGCGGGGCGGGGCTCGTTCCCAGGGGCGGGGTCGTGTTGAGGGGCGGGGCCCCGAGGGGGCGTGTCCTGCGCGCACGTGCAGGGAGCGGGAGCGGGGTCGGCATTCCCGGGACCCCCGCGCCGGGATCGGGGGGAGCAGGGACCAGGAGCGCACCGAGGGCCGGTCCCTCCGGTGGCCGCCACCGCCCCCGCGGGCACCGTCGGTGTTGGCGCGGCTGCAGGAACGCCCCGCAGCCCCGGGCAGCCGGAATAAATAAAGCTCGTGAGTGCGGGGGAGCCGCGAAGTGTCAGACCGCGTGTGGCAGAAGTTTCAGCCCACACCCGGTACTGTACGAGCTGCTCCACCTCGGCAGCCGCGGGGTTTGTGCCAGAGGCCCCTGCCCGTCTGCACAGATGTGCAGAGCCCTTTCCACTGCAGATGCCCAGACCCAGTGCCCACGTCGCTGAGCTGTCACCTTGTGCCCATGAGTACCGCTAAGCCCTAAATCAGGTTGTTTTTAGCAGGCCGAGTAGCCCCCCTGCCTTTCTCTCTTGCAGGTGGGTCAGAGAGGAGCTGGGATGATGGCTCTGGCACTGAGGGGGCTCCGTCCTCTCCCGTCCCTGCTGCACCGTTCGTCCTTCCTGCTGACCAGGGGGCTGCCAGGGGCTCCCACGGGCCACCCTGCCCTGCTCCTGGAGGGCTGCAGGCAGTGTGGCCATCAGGTGCTGCTGAGCAGACAGCTGGCTACCAAAAAGGGTAAAAACAGCAGCTTTTTCCTGGTTTTGCAACCCCCCTCTCTCTCTCTAATATATATGTATATTTCTTGGCACATGTGCTCAAGTACTGGGCTATTTACTCATTAAAAAGTACAGTTACTTTGGATTATCTTAGACTCAGTTCTGAATTGAGTCTACTTTCTAATGCAGCAACTAACTGTTGTCACAAATAGAAATTAATTTTTTTCTTTTTGTGCAATCTGCAGCTAAAGGTAAGGGGCAGAGCCAAGCCAAAGTGAATATCAGTGCTGCCCTAGTTGAGGACATTATCAATTTGGAGGAAACCAGTGAGGACATGCAGGCAGTCATAGAAGCTCTGAAAGAAGATTTCAGCAGGAACATCAGTGTTAGAACCTCACCAGGTTGGTAATTTCCTTGTGTGATGCTCTGTGGCCCATAAATAAGGTTACAAATCCTAGTAACGGAGAACTCTGGTTTTTTCAAAGTGGATTTTCTTTTTCTGGAGGTATTCACGGGGCACCCAGTTGCTGCAGCCTTGACATCCCAGCTAAAGGCTTTCTTCACCCTGAGCTTGACCAGGAAGAATCCATTTTGGCTAATAGCTTCCTGGAAATAGCTTTTGTAAGTGGGAGATGTCAAAAGTCTCTAACTGAACTGTTTGCAGATGTGATGGAGAAGCAGGTTGTCAGCTAATGGTGCAGTAGGGCAGGAAAAATCCAATTGCCATCGAATTAGCCTTTTGGAAATTGCCATCAGGCTGGTGTCTGGCATATACAAACTTTTTTTTGCTGTGTGTCTTTGTGGGCAGTGACCTGTACAAGCCTCGCTCACTTACTGGATTTTGTGCTTTAGGAAGAAATGTGAATATATTTGACTAAGCCACAGTTACTATAACACTCTGAACCCACGCATTTGTGAGTGTATCAAGTTTCAGGGATAAAACTTAACATTAAACAATGACCAAATTTGAATCATTCACCACCCCAGCTCTGGCAGGGGCACTTCTGTCTTTAATGGAGTTGGAAAGCATAGCTTGGTCTCTTAAGTATTTATTTTAACCATAGGTATTTTTTTTAATTCCACTGATAAAGTACCTCCTGTCCCACGTGCCTTTTGGCCTGTTAACATTTTGCAGCAGAAACTAGAGAGCAGATTAAGAGTAGCTCAGGGAGAAACTGAATACCTTAAATTAGGCAGTGTACAACACCCCTCTGGGGACCTGGGGGAAAAAAAAAAGAGGGGTTTAAGAGAGCACTGCTAAGTTAAAGACAATATTTTTCTTGATTTTTACAGCCACATTTTTATTTTCTTTAAATACTAAGGATTAAAAAATAATTATTTCCTTTTCATTCTTAACAATCCTGCTTAGTTTTCCTATTCTGGTAGCAAAAACAAACACGAGTTTTGTTTTCGTGTTTTTGTGCTTCAGAGCAGCTTTAAAATATTTAGCTTGTGAATACACAGGGGATGCCTGAACACAAACAGCACCTGAAGTCTGAATAAACACATTTTTTTTCCTTTGTAACATCTATATTTTGAAAAGCAGGAGGGAAGTGGGACACTGCAGACGCATTTTTCTTCAGCATTGCTGCAAACTGCTGTATCATACTGAAAGTGCCTGTGTTTGGTTCTTTTGAGGGGCCCTGGATCACATAACTGTGGTGACCAAAGATGGGAAGTTTCCACTGAACCAGCTGGGGCAGATCTCACAGAAATCACCACAGCTCATTATAGTGAACATGACCAGTTTTCCAGAGGTAAGGAAGGACACGTGACTGAAGGCAGTGGGAAGGGATAATTACCAGGGGAACAAACAGGTTGATGCTGAGCAAAGGAACACTTAGACAAAATCAGTCAAACGTGGCAGGGCTGGGAGCTCTGGCTGGGCTGTGTCACTTTGTGCTGACACAGAACAGAAGGGGTATTTTGCTGCTGACAGTGATTCCCCAGCCCTGCCTGGCTCACAGAGCAGCTCACCTGCAGCAGTGAGGGGTCCCAGGGGAGTTCCATGCTGGGATTGCTCTCAGGGCTGTGTCCAGTGAGTGCCACACTGCCAGGGGTTTGCTCTGGGGAGTGCTTTCCTGTCAGGTGGATCTGCAGAGCAACACTAAGTCACAGACAAGATTCCCTGTGCCCTACCAGCCCTCCCCTTTTGCCATGTATTTATGGCACCAGCAGTCCTGAGCACACACACACACTCACCTGAGTGACACACGTGTCTCTGACACTGCACCTGCCCCATTGTGTTAACTCAGTTCCTTGTGAATCCGTGGCCAGGCACAGAACCAGCCGTGTGGCTGGAATTTGTGCTGGACACACCATCAAACGCCTCTGGAACTTGCTTACTTACCACCAGGGCTGGGGACACCCCTGAGAGCTCCTGGGAGAAGCTGCTGATGGTGCTTGAGAGCTTCTGAGGAGCCTCCCTGGTGGGACTGAGCCGTGCTAAGTCACAGAGCTCGAGCTGGGCACTGCTGAGGTTGGTGAGCTCCCCCTTAGGCAGCGTCTGCAGGTCAGAACACAAACGAGGTGCTTTAAGTTATCTTCTGTGAGAGACAAGTTCCCTTAATTTTCTGCAGGAGCCTTAGACTTGCCCCTAAATGAGGCAGCAATGCAAATCCCACCTGGGGATCAAGCCCTTGGGGTGCCCTGCAGCTCCCACAGGCAGAGCCAGGCAGATGGGACCAGGAGCCAGCGCAGGGTCAGCGATTCGTCTCACCCCACGTCTGGAGGTTTGCCAGGGCTTATCTCTATTTATTTTGCAAAGGCTTTCCCCTATTAATTAAGTCAGCAAAGTCTCAGAGGAGGTCAGTGTAAGGCACTTGATGCCTAAGTGTTTCCTAAAGTGTACAAAGGCTCTGGAGAACAGAGGCCCCTCATCAGCCAGTGCGCCGAGGTCCCGCAGAGCCGGCGCTGAGAGGGCAGGAAAGGCACTCCATGACTTACCCCGTGTCAAACAGGACCTCAGGCTGAGAAATGGGCATGTGAGAAATTAAATATCCTCTGTAGAGCATTGCCTGCATTTGCTTTCTAAGCCAAAGGATCACTTGAACTATTTCTCTCAGTACAGTTGCTTTATACCATGAATGTTCTGTGGTAGACTGAACTCTTTAAAACCATTACAGACACGATTACTTGATGTCATTATTCACAGCATATCGTCAGTACTTCACGACATTGAGAAGAAAATAAAAGTGCCTGAAGAGTGAGAAATAAAACAATCATAGAAAAGGACTTGCAGGGCCAAAGTCTGTTTGCCCAAGAGTTATAAAACTGAACAAGATGCTGTTTTTTTAGGTATGGGGTTTTTTTCATGGCTTGCAAGAGGATGGGGGCAATATTACAATATTTTCCCCTCCTTCCATCTCCTCCAATATCTATGTTAAACAACACAGTTTTTACTGAGCGTTTCTTTCCTACAGAGCAAGCACTGTCCCTTTTTATTCCTAATGTGCTGAGATCATTTTGGTTGCATTTTCCCTGCCCTTGTAGTTTCAGAGGACAGCAGTTGTCTCTTACAGAACACCAGCAGAGCATTCATTAGGTTCAGTGATGTCACGTGTCAGGGACCTGAACAAATCTGCAGAGCTTTAGTTTGTGCCTCAGATGACAAAAGCTGAGCTTCATAAATACGGTTTGAATGACATAAACACTGCAGCAGCCTGGAGCTAAAGTTAATGATGGCAAAGAGTATCAGAAATAGCATCGTGCCTGGTAGGAAACACCACACAAGTGCCACAGGAATACAAACTCCTTGGGCTTGTCAATGTCAAGAACGAACCGACCTGGCAGAGCCTCGCAGGAGCTCCCGGCCAAACTCTGCCTTAACTCTGCCTGTCACTCTCTAGAGGCACAACCCGTGCCCTGGGATGGACATAAAGCCTTTTAATCACCTTGCAGTCACCAGGAAAACCTGCCACCCCACCAGAGCATCAGCCAGTGGCAGGGGAGTTTTGAGAAGTTAATCCTCAGTAATGAGCTGTAAAATAAACACAGAGCTGGGCACGGGCACTGTTTCTCAGCCATCTGCTGCTGCCCCGATGTCCTGTGGTCAGGTTGTAGTGCTGAAGTGGTTAAGTTTGTTAACGTTTCAGAATTGGCACTGGGCGATTTCTAGTGGGAAACATTCAGCTGGAATTTTTAAATGCTCAGAATCTTTCATCTCCTTCGCCACAGTCAGGCTGTGCCTTGGGAATTTGCTGCGGTTTCGCTCTGCGTTGCCTCAAACCATTCGAATAGTTTCAAAGAAACAAAACAGTTTTCTTTTGTTGTTGCCTGCCTTCCCCTCTCCCCCCCTGGTGCCCCCCTACCCCGATACGAGCGGCCGTAGTTTCCCATTCGGTTTGATCAAAGCTCTCTGCACCAATGTAACTTCCTGATCTTACTGGTAACAGAAGTAAATGTTTCCATGTTCCACGGAGATGGATTGCCAACTATTGACAGAGTTCTGGCATATGGGAATGATTATTTCCTAATTCCCTTTTACCTTTTGATCTGCTTTACAGAGCACAGCTGCAGCTATGAAGGCTATAAGGGAGAGTGGCATGAACCTGAACCCCGAGGTGGACGGGATGATGATTCGGGTGCCAGTTCCTAAGTGAGTATCTCTGCCCGAGCTCGTCACCATGCAAGACAACACAGTAGGTTGCACTGAGTGCCCTTCAGAGGGTAAACATGCACGATTGCTGAATATCCCGATGCAGCTGCTTTCCAAATAGCTGTAAGTTCAGGTCTGGAAAAAAATCTGAGCCCCTGAAAGCGTCTGGTGGAACCTCTTCCAAGTGTCTGAGCTCTAAGTCATCACATCTTGGCATCTGGTGGTTGGTTTTATTCTTCATCTTCCCCGTGCAGAGAAATCTTGGTCCTTGCTGGGTGCAGCACTTTGCAGGAGAGCCAAAGGCTTTTGAACCTGTATTGCTTTAACCCAGGGGCTGATTCTTTGCTGCTCTGCTCTGAATTCCCAGAATTACACCAGCAAAGAGCAGCAGTAAGGCAGGAGTGAATTTGGTGAACCAGTAGTATTAGGGATGAGTAGCACCTTGGTGCAGAGAGCACTAAAAGGAAGTGGTGAAAGGGAGAGGCAGGAAATTTATAGCTTTGACTGAAAAATCTGCTCCCTCCTCTCATCTGACACACATTGTGTAACTGATGGCTGCGTGGAAGTTTTGGTGTGGGGCTGATGGAAAAGCAGGCTGCCCCTGGCCAAGGCATGAGCATTGCTTCCCTCACCCATCACAGGTGTCTCCCAGCCCTTGGACAAGGCAGGAGGTGCCACTGCATCCATGCTTCAGTTTGTGATCAGGAGAAGCCATCCTGATGATCCCTTAGTGTGCTTTGGACTGCAGCATGCTGGGCTCTTCCCCTTCTGGGAACAGGGGTCCTTTCAGGTGAAATTAGGGCTCCCAGCAGCTCCACTCACTGGCACAGACACTGCCTGTCACAGGGGCACCAGGGTTGGGTGGCACAAGGAAAGCTCACGGGTTCCTGTGGGTGCTCAGACCTTATGGAGCATCCAAATACTCTGGGCAGGTGTGGCTGTACATGAACTCACACCCTGGGGTAAAGGCAAACAGCTCTCACACAGGGAGTGCACAAACCCCTTGCACAAGCAGGTGACTTCTTGGTAAAGATGAACCAGGTATTTCTTATGCTTTAGATCTCCTTTAAAAATTCTGTGGAATTTTACCCAGCATTTTCATCAGAGAAGTCTAATTGCAGCTTTCCGTTGCAGTCGGTGAGAGGCAATGACATTATCATTCTATTTGCTGATTTTCCTTCCCCGTGCTCCCTGCCCTTCCCCCATTCCTCAGGAGAGGAGGCAGAGGAGGAGGAGGGCACCATTATCTTCATAATTGCTGAGGCTCCCGGGTTGCTGCACAGTGGTTTGATTGTTAATGGGCACTTGGGTCATCCTTGAATACGAATTGCAGGGGAGGAAACTCCAAAACTGCAAATCCGGAGCTTTAACAAAATACTGTGTTTTTAAACAAATGTGTATGGTCTGTCACCATCTTCTGTGGAGCTGCAGAGCAAAAACAAGTCTTCTCTTCCCAGGGAAGCTCTGCCTGGTGCACTCCAGTGTTCCTCTGGTGTGTCAGGGTTGCAGCTCCTGGTCCCTTCCTGGCTGCTTGGGAACCTGGGAAGTCCTGAGTTAAGGTTTTTTGGGAGCTGTGCCCTGTGGGTCTGCCCTCACTGGCACCTCTAGTCCCTTTTGCTCTCCAGTTACACGACTGGGTCTTTGGGAGTTTCATCCACTTACTGAAAAGACAAGCAGACAATTCCAGCCTTTTAAAACCACCTATTGCAAAGAGGGGGCCAGAAACAATCAAATTCTGCAAGAGGCCTCTCTTTAATACTATATCCCTGAATTGCTTTTTAAAATTTTCTAGGTTTTTCATTATTTCCAAGAGTTTATGAGAGGATATATGACAGACAGATGCAATAAAATTGCCAAAATTACGTCTGATGTGGAAATCGAGCAAACACATCCAAAATTAAGAGATATTAATATTGTTTCCGCAGAAATTGGTTCTTCCATGAAATGAAGTCACACTAAAAATAAAACCAAACCCAAATTGTCCTTACCTGTCATTAAAACCACTTCTCACTCTGACCTGTCAGCTGGACACACGTGTGTCGTGTTTTGCCTCGTGCAGGTCCAGCTGTGCTCCAGAGTGTCTCAGCTGAGCATTTAAAAGTGGAGTTTGCTTCTCAGTATTTATTCTGTTAGTTTAGGTTTTGCACTGCCGTTTCAGCAGAAAAAATACACTCGTGTGGTTGGTGTTTACTTCTGCTGCTTTGCCAGGATCCCTCTGCTCCCCGAGGCATTTGCCTGTTTCTGTGGCTAACACTGCATAGGCAATATTTATTTGTATAAAAAAGTAGCCTCCGGGGGTTTAAAAATAAAAATAAAAAAAGGAACCAGCCATGGGAACGTTTGTATTGGTTGATCTCTTGGCCGAATTTGACCTGACCTTGTGTCTTTTATGGTATTGCCTCATTTTTAGATTCGTCTTTTTTGGACCCATTGTGTTACACTGGATATTGTTTGTAAATCGGTAATATTTTTACACATGTTTTACTGAAAGCCAGATGACTCATTTGAAAGTTTAATGACTCATTGTGAGCTTTTTTTTTTTCCCTTTGCCCTTTAAGAAATATGCAAAGATACCTATTATGGGGAGAAAGGACACAAAAAATTTCACTTGAAAACACACCAAGGCTGCTCCGAGCTGCACTCGCTCATCGTCAGGAGTCTGTCACTTGCTTTTTATTGAGCAATAAATGCTGCACCCTGTGTTTATCTGCAATTATGAATGCAGAGTGTTTAGTTAAGCCTGCTTTGCTTTAACTGATCCCTCTCCTTCACAGGAAATTCCTCATGTTTGAGATACAGAAATTGCTCTTACCCGGATAAACGTCTTGCGTTGAGACGAGCCCTGTCGAGCTCGCTGGGGGTCTGCTCTGCCAAGGGCTGCAGTGCTTGAACCACTGGAGCTGGGGGAGGCAGAAAAAAAGATGTTACTCGTGGGATGGTGTGTGTTGTGACCCCCCCTGACATGTCATTCACCAGGCTTTGTCCTGGTCCCTGGGGGAACAGCAGGAATTGAGCCCGCTGCTCTGTGAGCTGCAGGAAGGGCATCAGGGGTGACAGATGGAGACCTTGTCCTCATTCCCCACTCTGGCACCCTTTCCCCAAGTTCACTTCACACTTTTTTTTTAGCTTTAAGTGGGGGTAGGGATTACTAGTAGGGATTGGCTTATAGACAGAAAAGAAAACATACCAAAGAACAGCTTAAAAGTCCCACATCTAGGGGCAGGATTAAACAACTGTCCTCAGAAACCATGGGCCTGGCTCGTGTTGATGGATTCCTTAACCAGAAACAGCATCTGCTTGGAAAAGTGTCCACTTCTGGCACTGTTGGTAGCATTGCTGAGAATTTACACACAGTCTGGCTGGAACATAAAACCCGCTGAGAAACTCCCCGGCACTGCACGGTGATAAAAAGAAATTGGTGTTAATAAAGACAGACAAGGAGGCATGAAAGCTGTGACCCCGTGCCAAGAAGCAGAGGAAATCTGGCAGGGCTGCATAAACAAAAACATTTCCTTCAAGGCTCGGCAGCCCCGGGCAGGCGAGTGATACCCTGGGCTCAGCTCGCGAGAGCCGCGCTCGGCTCCCAGCGCTGAGCGGCTCCCCCGCCACCCAGCAGGAGATGGGAGAGATTTCCAGCTCCCCCCTCCAAGCTGAGCGGCCAGGATTGACTCCCCACCCCTCCCACCCCCCAAAAAGCTGCCTGAGAATCTGACCTCACGGGGACCTCTGCCTGGGAGCTTTGGTGGTTCCAAATGTGCTGCGGGAGCTCCGGCCGGGGAGGTCGAACACGAGAAGCCCCGGAGGCACCGACGTTGGGATGCAGGGAAACCATCACAAGGATCCCTGCTCACTCCTCAGCCTGTGCTGACCAGGAGCCTCCTGCCACATGTGATGAGTTAGGTTGGGTCTCAGGGAAAGGTTCTTCCCCCAGAGGGTGGTTGGCACTGCCCAGGCTCCCCAGGGCAGTGGGCACGGCCCCAAGGCTGCCAGAGCTCCAGGAGTGTTTAGACAATGCTCTCAGGGACAGAGGGGGATTGTTGGCATGTCCTGGGCAGGGTCAGGGGTTGAACTGATGATCCTTGTGGGTCCCTTCCAACTCAGGATATTCTTTGATTCTGTGTGACATTCCCTGGCCATCTCCCAGGGAGGGGACAGGCACCAGGGTGCCCTGGGTGCCAGGGCTGGGATGCTGCTCTCTGGGTCTGTCAGCTTTCCAAGCCATCCCAAATTCCTGTAATTTCTGACTGCTTCTGGGAAGCCTGTTCCCAGTGGCACCATGAAATAGAGATGGCTGGCAAGAGGCCAGTGCCTCTGCAGACATCTGCTGGGAGAGACCTGCCTGCAGGGAAGGGACCTGCTGGGCCAAGGGTCCCACTGTGCCCCCACAGCCTCCCCGAAACACACACCCACTGTGGGACAGAGCCCAGGCACCCTCACCCCACATTTCCTGAGCTCTCTGCAGGAAAAGTCTTAGCCCCGGTGTTTTGGTGACCCAGGCTGCTACAGCCAATTTCTAAATACTCCTGTGAAATGTTTATTTTGCAATAACTCCCTTGAGCTAGCAGGTCTCAGCAAGAGCACCGGGGTTTTTCCCTCTCCGGGCAGCCTGGAAACTCCAATAGCCATTAAAATTATTAAAATATTATTGTTAAGCACTAGCAGTTGACAGTGATCAGCTGTAGGTGCTGGAGCATTACCAGAGCTGAGGGGACACCCCAGCCATTCCTGAGACTTCTTGATGGTCAGACCCCCTCACCACCTGCAGTTTTCAGTTTGGAATGGGAAATTCAGGATTTTTTTGTGGTGCCACAGCAATAACTGGCCCCATGTCAGGGGGAAGGTGGAGCTGAAGGTGGGCCAAGTTACCTGTGGCTGACCATGTCCAGCAGCATCCTCTTGTCCAACCAGGTGTTCACATCATCTCGGTGGGAAATCCTGGTCGTGGTGAGCTGGAATAAAGTTGAGTGAAAGATAAACTCTGTAGCTTCCCAGTCCTCAATTCAGGCTTTTTAGTTGCAGGAAGACAAATCTGAGGTTTAGGAACTAAGCTTTCCTCCCGGCTTTGCAGGATTATGCTTTTCAGGATGACACTTTTCAGTTCCATCTTTCAAGTCTGGAGCTGGATTTTTCCTCTTTCCCACAGATGCTTTGGCAGCAGGAAACAAGGAAAGCCTGAACATTTCAGCATGACTTTCAGGCACTGCAGCAACAACTATAAACCAAGTAAGATTCAGTCCAAGTTCCCCAGCTTAGGTCCAGGCTGGAAATTTTTCCTTCTAGGCTCAAGACTTGCTGCCCTGTGGATGCTGTTTTTTCCAGGTGGACCAAAGCAGAATAAAAACGTGCCCTGAGCTGTTCAGTCCCTCTGCCCTGTGACACACAGGGCCTCCAATCACAGCAAGGTCTGTCTAACACCAGCAGCTTTTGGGTGTCCCTGGGCAGGGCAGCACCATCCAGAGAGGATCACTCATTTACCCAAAGTCCATCACAGAAAATAAATCTGGCTGTACCACACATGACACTGTTTTTCTTTTGGTGTTTTTCCTCTCCCCATGTTCCTAGGGTCACCAGAGAGCACAGGGAGAACCTGGCCAAGCTGGCCAAGCAGGCCACCAACAAGTCCAAAGAGGCCCTGAGAAAGGTGCGAAGCAAAAGCATCAGCCAGGTAAAGAAGTCCAAGAGCAAAGTGTCAGAAGATACCATCTATCTGCTAGAAAAGCAGGTAATTTTCTTCCCTTCTGCCATATCCTGGTGCCTCAGAGCTCAGTGGTGTGTTTGTCCCAGCCTTGCTGACAAATCTCCATCACTGAGAACCCAGCGGGGGAATGGGCTGCGTTTTGGAGTTGGTCAATGGCTGTTGTATTTGCTTTTGCTTTGTGAGATTGGGGACTTCAATCTCAAAGCCAAATTTATGATATGAGCCATGGTTAGCTGACACAGAGGAAAAAATATTCCCCAGAAGCTTTTGTACTACGAGGGATTGTTGCACGAACCAGCTGAATTTGGGGAGCAAAACAATCCACGACCATGTCTGTACCACCACTCACCCAGGGCCTGGCCACTGCAAACAGCTGGTGTTAATGAGGATTGTTTCAGTTGTTATTAATGAAAAGGCTAGCAAGATTATCTCTGTCCAGAGTTTTTGGCTCCAATTCAGGAAAATACTTAAGCACATGCCTAATTCCCTAAGAGCAGATGTCACTAAAGTCAATTACTTGGGCATAAACTCAGGCACAAGCCTAAGTGTTCTGCTGAATTGATGCCTCTGAAGGCAGGCCATTACTTCTTAGCTGTTTGTTTATTAACAGCTAAAGTTAGATACATTGCAAATGCTCTGGGACAGTTCTCTGTGTGCTCACAAAAATAAACATCGATATACAGAGCGTTTGTGCAAGCAGGAAAAATGGCCATGCCATTGTAACCAAATCCTGTTGGGAAGCAGCTCTCCCAGAGCAGACAGATGGTTTTCTGCATTGGTAGAGGTAACATCTCCAGTGGAATTTTTTCTTGTACCCAAATTTTTCCCCATGAGGAAAGGTCATCATTAGACCTTGGGAGCAAGAAGAACTTAATCCTGTGAAACCAGTGCATAACCCCCATTGTGCTCCAGCCTTTACCTGCTCTTACTCAAGGGCCTGCACCTTTTCATCCCTTTTACATTCTTGCCATGTCCATCCCATGTTACCAGGAGAGCTGATCCCTGGCCAGGGCTTGGACAACCACCATTTTATTTCTTTTTACAAGAAACAAGCAGATGGTTACTGGGTGTGTGTATTCCTGGCATGTACTAAGGCTCCTGCTGTTACCTGTGTGTTCTGATAGTGCTGCAGGAGGGAACAGCCCTCTCTTCTCTGGTGCCAGCACCAGCAGGTCTCTGCCCCGCCCTGAAGTCAGTCCTTTCCCTTTAAACTCTGGCATCCCCTCACTCAGGACTCTGACTTGCATTGTCTTGCCACAGATCCAGCAAATGGCAGATGAGGCTGTCGCTGAGATGGACAAGCTGCTGGCAGCAAAGACCAAGGAGCTGCTTGGATAAACACCATCCCAATGGACACACTGCCCCTGGAGCAGGAATGGACTGTGCCCCAGCACTCATCCCTGCCTGCAGGCAGCAGCCTCAGGGATGAGCAGCTCTGTGCCTTGGCTGCTCCCAGTGCCCACCTGGGCAGTGCTGGGGAACGGGGGGAACTCTCCTCGCTGTTCATCCAGGTGGGAACAGAATTGGGTGAAATGAGAAATAAAACATCCAGAAGGAGGACTGGAGGCTGCTGGAAGGGCTCCCAGGGAAGCTGAGGAGGAAGGACTGCCCTGCTCACCTCACACCCCATTTCGTGTTCGTGCACCACCAGCCCAGCAGGAGCCAGGAACACGTGCAGGGGGAACCTGCTGCAAACCTCAGCATTTATTTTTTTCTTGAAATAAAGTCAAAATGAGATGTGGAGGAGCAGCCTTGCAACAGCCAGGTCCTGGTTGGTGTGTTCTCTTGAGTTCCCATGTCCCAGAAGAAGCATTTGCCCCACTGGGAAGGGGTGAGGGAACTCAGCGCTGACTGTGCAGGGTGGGCAGGGGTTCTGTGGTCCCCAAGGCAGAGAACTGAAACCACTACTGTCAACACATTAGCCAGGACTGAGAAGACCAAAAGCCAGCGCAGGAACTTTCCAAAACCAGTATCTACCCCCTCTGACCAGTTACAGGGGACCTGTGCAAGCCACTAGCACCACATCTGTGGGGTTGGAGGAGGTAGAAGCAGGACAAAATCCTGAGCACATCACACAGCTCAGCTCCTCGCTGCCAGCAGGTACTTCCCCATGGGAGCAAATGGCCTTGGTGATGGCAGGAGCAGGAAGGTGGTGGCAGGAGCAGGAAGGTGGTGGCAGCCCCCCAGCCCTGCTCCCAAGGCATTTGGGTTCAAAGAGCGCCGAGTGCTCTGCACTCCTTAAATAAACAACTCCCCCAAAAGTGAGTTTGTGTGCCACAGGGAGAGGGAGGAGGATGAAGGATTTGCTCTGCTAGGGCCCCACATGTCAACAATTTCTCTGCTTTGTGTATTTTGGCCGAAGCCCTTGCCATGATAAATGAATAAAGGAAGATGGCGAGCCCAGGGCGGTTCCTCGGCTCGGGAAATTGCTTTCAGCCGATTACTGGATTTCTTTTGACATTTATCAACTGGGCTTCTTTTGCCATTGTTGCAGCCTCAGCATCCCTGCAGCAGCCTGGCCCTGAAGGGTTTTCCTGATACCTGCCCAGGAGCAGCAGCTGCTGAGCTGGGAGCTCCACAAAGCCAGGGCAGGTGGAGAATTGCTGCTGCCCACGGGTGTTTCTCCAGCCTCTTCCCATTCTCCAAGCCCTTGAGGGGTGGTGATGGGCTGATGGAGGCAGGCACTGGAGCTTCAGGGGGTCACTGTAGGGAGGAATTTCCCAAATATTTACTGCTCTTCCTCACCCTGTAGCATCTCACTGCGCCTCACAGGAAATAAAACCTGTGGTAAAACTGCTCCAGCACTGGGCCGGGGATGGAGCTGCCTGGACGGCTGGGGAGCCCATTTATTTGCATCCTCACCTCAGCCCTGTGCTCTGCATCAGCCAGGAGCTGCCACAGCACCCACAGATGCTGCTCTCAGCCCTGGTACCACCAAAGCAGGGCAGGCAACACGTGAGCCCAGGGAGCTGTGCCCCCCCAGCCCATCCTGCTCCCCGCGGGACCTTGCACTGCAGGACAAGCAGAAAAAAGCACCAGCCCCAGCCCCAGCACCTTCCAACCACTCAGGACTGCAGCAGGACCACCCAGGAGAAGAGAGGATGGGCACTCACCACCAGCAGCTCTGGACAGGTCCCACTTTCCCTTCACAGCGTAAATCACCTGCTGCTCCACACCAGGAGCTGCAGCACAAGGTCTGCCTGCTCCAAACACTCCTCCAGCAGCACCAGCAGGAACCTCTCACTTGGTTCCAGCCTGGATTGCACCCAGAGCTGATAAGAAGCTGCAGCTGATGCTGTTGGCGGGTGGGAAGGAGCTCCAGCTGTGCCAAACAACCCAGGAGGGGTAGGGACACGGGCCAGAAAGCAGCTGGGCTGGTGTAATGTGGGTCTGTGTCGGTGACGCCACATCGGCCACCACATGGTTTGGCCTCGGCAGCAAATGCCATGGGACCCCTCATGCTCTGCCCTGGGCTGTCCACACCTCTCTGCCCTCACCAGGAGCCCTGTCCCAACAGCATCTGTTGACCTGAGGCACTGTTGTGTTCCCACCTGGCGAGTGCTGCCATGGCCTGGAAGAGTGGGGGTCCCTGAGGAGTCACACTCCCAGCACAAGGGGTACATTCCTGTGCACATCCCTGCTCGGGAGAGACTGCACCCTCCCCAGGCTGCCCACACTGGGCACCACCAGGATGTTCCAGCCTGCTCCGAGCTGCTGGACAGGGACCAGGACAGGCACCAACCTCCCGCCAGCTCCTGGAGTGGGCAGCCGTGGGGACACTCAAAACAGAGGCAAAGGGAAGGAAAAACTCCAAGGAAGCTGGAAGCTCTCGACATAGTTAAAAAACAACATTGCTCTTCAAAATAGATGTGATTGCGCTCCTTGTGAGTCATCGAGCAGAGACACCAAGATTGCTTTGTGCCAGGGACGAGCCGGGCGCTGATTGTGCCGCCCGGATTTGTATCCAACAGCCCCTGGATGGCATGTCAGAGTTTACAGCGCGCATACATTTTCAACAGTGAGCTTTGCAAAATGTATCAATGTAATCTCTGCCTCCTATATTCCGTGTTGATTAGACACGATTTCTGGCTGGATTTTCAGAAAGCTCAAGTGCTTTTTTAATCACTACAGAAGCTCATTATTGCTTTCCAGTGACTCTTATGTCCTTCACTTCTCCTTTCAGATTAGAGTCTATAGTCAGATGAATATTGGATGATTTCATTACATACAAATGCAATCAACAGTTTTGCATAAATTTCTCCTCTTTTCTTGAGTTTCAATTGACCTCAGCACCCGTGGAGGCAGGCGCAATACACATGTAAATGAGCTGGCGTTGCTGCAAAGACACGGATGCGAGAAACAAGATAAACTGTCAGATAATATTCAGGATTTTTAAGAGATCAAAAAATACTTCCTCGTTCAGCCCAGCCGTAAAAATGGCACCTTCAGCTGCCGGGGAATTTGCTTTTGTTTTGCTGTGAGTCTGGCTGTGGACAAAGCCCAGGGGTGGCCCCGAGGGGCCGAGCAGAGCCGGGCTGGCCGGCAGCAGCATCGTGGGGATGGGAGCGGGGTATCCGTGGGGTGCAAGTGGTGCTGGCATGGGACTTGTGCCACAGGGAAGCTGCTGGAGAGGTCTTGGCTCTCCACCACACCAGGGAGGTGCCCACCCAGCCCAGCATCCGCTGCAGAGCCGGGTTTGGTGGGTGAGCCCCGGCCAATGGTGGTACCAATGTTGGCACTGCCATCCTGCTCTGCTGTGACCATCTCAACTGTGGGATGCTGAGTTCAGACTCCCCTGGACCCCCATCACTCCTGAGCAGTCCTGAGCACCAGCCCAGAGCGGGGGCACCTGCCAGGGCACAGGGCTGAGCCGGGGGCTGCCCTCCTCTCACTGCACTGCCACACACGAGGGAACCACACGTTCCAAATATATTTAAGCTAACACTCCACATGAACAATCAGGCCCAATTTAAACAAACTATAATTAAAGATAAAGGACCTCTTGGTAGGGAGGTCGGGGGAAACTGTCAGCGGTTACTTTGGATGTTGAAGCTCTTACCTTTAAAAGAACAATTTTTGTGCTAATGTGAGCAATCCAGCACTCCCACACTCGCCTTTGAGGGCTGGTGGGGAAAGAAACTCGTGGGTTTCTTTTGATGCCTTTACGTGCTAATCTTCTTAACAGATTTTTAATTAATGGGAACAGAGCACTTTGCAGCCGTGAAATCTATTGGTGTAATTGCCTGGTGGATTAGTCCCATTAACCACACAAATTACCTGTCTCCAGGTCGCCAGCCCCACCGGGGAGCTCCCCACGCTGGACACACTGAGCAGGCCCATTCTGAAGCAATTTTGATAAAATAAACTCTCTAATCAGGTAAATAATTCCATAAGGGAAATTGCTGCCTTCCCGCAGCCCCCCTCCAGCGGGACCTGGCTACTTTCAGGGGAATGCAACACGCCTCCAATTACAGACAAATCTCCAGCTCAGGGGCCGTTTGGGAGAAGCCCACGGCACACGGGACCCCCTCGAACCACAGCGGCCAAGGAATTAAGGCATTTAAGCTGTCAGCTGGAATCTGGCCCGGCCCCTGATTACCTGGGGGGACGTGCAGCGTATTTAGGTTCGTGTCCGTTGCAATTTCCTGGCCCCCAGCGTTGATCCCGAATGACTCGTGTCCGTGTCAGGTTCCTGCCCAGGGTCACTCCGACACGTGGCCCCGGGCCCAGGGACAGCAACCTTTGGGCAATTAAGGATGTCCAGGCCAGGCTGAGCCCCGAGGACTGGGGATGTGCAGCTGTCCCCAAGAGCTGCAGGGCGAGGGAGGCCTTGGTGAGGCTGCATGGCTGTGCTGGCTGCCATCACCCCTCGGGATGGAGGCCTGGATCTTGGGGGCCCTTCCCAGCCCTGTCTGTGGGTTTCCATGGTCCAGTGTAATTTTGGACCTGAACCTGATGGTGACTCCCACAGCTGCCCTTTGCTCAGCCCCTGAGATTAGGATGTGCTGTCCCAGGGATATCCAGACCCACACATGGTGGGCACAGCAGGGTGCAGGGGACCCACGTGCTGTCACATGGGGATGCACAGCCCCAACACCCTTCCCATTGCTTGGTGAAGGGCTGCCTAGTGCCTGGGGCTCTGCCAGACCCTCGGCCAGGATGGCTCCAAACCTGCTGCACCAGCCAGGGCATCTGTCCACGCTCTGCCCCGCACTGGGGAGTGGGGAGGAGGGCCCCTGCCACACCATGCTGTGAGCACGTGTGCTGGGGACAGCCTGGGAGGAAGTGACAGCAGTGACACGCTGGTGCCCAGTGCTGGTGGGGACGGCCATGTGGAGAGGTGGCCTTCAAGCATCCCCTGAAATGCTCAGGTGATCAGTCCCTGCGCCACTCCCCGATCCCGGGATGGAGGAGCCCAAAGCTCGGTGGCACAAGGATACTCTTCCTGCTGCAAAGGGAGACCAAAACTCTCCCCTGTGTCTGCCCCCGTGGCTCCTGGCAGAGGGTGATCCATGGGGCCACCCCAGACTGGAGGGGACGTGGGCCGGGGCAGCCCCGGCCGGGAGGGTCGGAGCGCAGGAGCCGCGGTGCTGGCGAGCCCGGCCGGGGAACCCTACACCGCGGGTAATTGGCATCAGATGCTCCCTGACCTGTCGCATCCACCGGGAAGCTGGAAGCATTTATTTGTCTGAGCCGGCGGCTCTATCTGCGTGCGGGAGGCGTTGGCGGTGGCGGGGCCGGGCTCCGCGAGCCTAATG